TTGCTTTGAGATACGTCTGACAATATAGTGTGCTTTGAGATACTTTTGACCATATACTGTGCTTTGATATATTTTTGACAATCTATTGCGCTTTGAGATACTTTTGACAATCTATTGTGCTTCGAGATACTTTTGACAATCTATTGCTTTGACATACTTTTGACAATCTATTGTGCTTTGAGATACTTTTGACAATCTATTTTTTGAGATATTTTTAATAATCTATTATGCTTTGAGATACTTTTGACAACCCTTTGCTTTGAGAAACTTTCGACAATCTATTGTGCTTTGAGATACTTTTGATAATCTATTGTGCTTTGAGAGACTTTTGACAATCTATTGCTTTGAGATACTTTTGACAACCATTTGTGCTTTGGGGTACCTTCGACAGTCTATTGCTTTTAGATACTTTTGACAATCTGTTGTGCAGTGAGTTACTTTTAAAAATCTATTGATTTGATAAACTTTTGACAATTTTTTGCTTTGAGATACTTTTGACAATCTACTGTGCTTTGAGAAATTTTTGACTAATTATCGTGCTTTGAGATACTATTAACAACCTATTTTGCTTTGAGATAGTTTTGACAATCTATTGCTTTGAGATTCTTCTGACAATTCATTGTGCTTTGAGATACTTTTGAGAATCTTTTGTGCTTCGAGATAGCTTTGACAACCTTTTACTTTTAGACACTTTTGAAAATGTTTTGTGCTTTGAGATAGTTTTGAAAATTTTTTGCTTTGAGATACATTTGACAATATAGTGTGCTTTGAGATACTTTTGTCAATCTTTTACTTTGAGATAATTTTGACAACCTTTTATGCTTGGAGATACTTTTTACAATCTATTGCTCTGGAAGACTTTTGACAATATATTGTGCTTTGAGATACTTTTGACAATCTATTGCTTAAGATACTTTTGACAATTTTTTGTGCTTTGAGATTCTTCTGACAATTTATTGCTTTGAGGCAATTTTGACCATCTACTGTGCTTTGAGATACTTTTGACAGTCAATAACTTGGAGATTTTTTTGACAATCTGATGTGTTTTGAGATACTTTTGACAATCTATTGTGGTGTGAGATACTTTTGACAATCTATTGCTTTGAGATACGTCTGACAATATAGTGTGCTTTGAGATACTTTTGACCATATACTGTGCTTTGATATATTTTTGACAATCTATTGCGCTTTGAGATACTTTTGACAATCTATTGTGCTTCGAGATACTTTTGACAATCTATTGCTTTGACATACTTTTGACAATCTATTGTGCTTTGAGATACTTTTGACAATCTATTTTTTGAGATACTTTTAATAATCTATTATGCTTTGAGATACTTTTGACCATATACTGTGCTTTGATATAATTTTGACAATCTATTGCGCTTTGAGATACTTTTGACAATCTATTGTGCTTCGAGATACTTTTGACAATCTATTGCTTTGACATACTTTAGACAATCTATTGTGCTTCGAGATACTTTTGACAATCTATTGCTTTGACTTACTTTTGACAATATATTGTGCTTTGAGAAACTTTTGACAATCTATTGCTTAAGATACTTTTGACAATTTTTTGTGCTTTGAGATTCTTCTGACAATTTATTGCTTTGAGGCAATTTTGACCATCTACTGTGCTTTGAGATACTTTTGACAGTCAATAACTTGGAGATTTTTTTGACAATCTGATGTGTTTTGAGATACTTTTGACAATCTATTGTGGTCTGAGATACTTTTGACAATCTATTGCTGTGAGATACGTCTGACAATATAGTGTGCTTTGAGATACTTTTGACCATATACTGTGCTTTGATATATTTTTGACAATCTATTGTGCTGTGAGATACTTTTGACAATCTATTGTGCTTCGAGATACTTTTGACAATCTATTGCTTTGACATACTTTTGACAATCTATTTTGCTTTGAGATACTTTTGACAATCTATTTTTTGAGATACTTTTAATAATCTATTATGCTTTGAGATACTTTTGACAACCTATTGCTTTGAGAAACTTTCGACAATCTATTGTGCTTTGAGATACTTTTGATAATCTATTGTGCTTTGAGAGACTTTTGACAATCTATTGCTTTGAGATACTTTTGACAACCATTTGTGCTTTGGGGTACCTTCGACAGTCTATTGCTTTTAGATACTTTTGACAATCTATTGTGCAGTGAGTTACTTTTAAAAATCTATTGATTTGATAAACTTTTGACAATTTTTTGCTTTGAGATACTTTTGACAATCTACTGTGCTTTGAGAAATTTTTGACTATTTATTGTGCTTTGAGATACTATTAACAACCTATTTTGCTTTGAGATAGTTTTGACAATCTATTGCTTTGAGATTCTTCTGACAATTCATTGTGCTTTGAGATACTTTTGAAAATCTTTTGTGCTTCGAGATAGCTTTGACAACTTTTTACTTTTAGACACTTTTGAAAATGTTTTGTGCTTTGAGATAGTTTTGAAAATTTTTTGCTTTGAGATACATTTGACAATATAGTGTGCTTTGAGATACTTTTGTCAATCTTTTTCTTTGAGATAATTTTGACAACCTTTTATGCTTGGAGATACTTTTTACAATCTATTGCTCTGGAAGACTTTTGACAATATATTGTGCTTTGAGATACTTTTGACAATCTATTGCTTAAGATACTTTTGACAATTTTTTGTGCTTTGAGATTCTTCTGACAATTTATTGCATTGAGGCAATTTTGACCATCTACTGTGCTTTGAGATACTTTTGACAGTCAATAACTTTGAGATATTTTTGACAATCTAATGTGTTTTGAGATACTTTTGACAATCTATTGTGGTTTGAGATACTTTTGACAATCTATTGCTTTGAGATACGTCTGACAATATAGTGTGCTTTGAGATTTTTTAAACAATCGATTTGCTTTGAGATACTTTGGACAACCTCTTGTGCTTTGAGGTTTTTTTCACAATCTATTGTGCTTTGAGATACTTTTGACAATCAATTGCCTTGAGTTACTTTTGACAATCTATTGCTTTGAAATACTTTTAACAATATTTTGTGCTTTGAGATACTTTTGACAACCTTTTGGTTTGAGTTAATTCTGACAATCTATTGTGCTTTGAGATACTTTTGACAGTCTATTGCTTTGGTGTATTTTTGACAACCGATTTGCTTTGAGATACTTTGGACAATCTATTGTGCTTTGAAAATTTTTTCAAAATCTATTGTGCTTTGAGATACTTTTGACAATCAATTGCCTTGAGTTAATTTTAACACTCCTTGCTTTGAAATACTTTTAACAATATTTTGTGCTTTGAGATACTTTTGACAACCTTTTGATTTGAGTTACCCTTGACAATCTATTGCTTTGAAAAATTTTCAACAAAACATTGTGCTTTGAGATACTTTTGACAGTCTATTGCTTTGGTGTATTTTTGACAATCTGTTGCTTTGAGATAATTTTGACAATCTAATGTGTTTTGAGATACTTTTGACAATTTATTGCTTTGGTTTACTTTTGACAATCTATTGCTTTGAGATACTTTTGACAATCTATTGTGCTCTGAGATACTCTTGACAATCTTTTGCTTTGAGGAATATTAGACAATCTATTGTGCTTTGAGATAGTTTTGACAATCTATTGCTTTGAGATACTTTTGACAATCTATTGTGCTTTGAGATATTTTTGACAATCTGTTGCTTTGAGATACTTTTGACAATCTATTGTGCTCTGAGATACTCTTGACAATCTTTTGCTTTGAGGAATATTAGACAATCTATTGTGCTTTGAGATAGTTTTGACAATCTATTGCTTTGAGATACTTTTGACAATCTATTGTGCTCTGAGATACTCTTGACAATCTTTTGCTTTGAGGAATATTAGACAATCTATTGTGCTTTGAGATAGTTTTGACAATCTATTGCTTTGAGATACTTTTGACAATCTATTGTGCTCTGAGATACTCTTGACAATCTTTTGCTTTGAGGAATATTAGACAATCTATTGTGCTTTGAGATAGTTTTGACAATCTATTGCTTTGAGATACTTTTGACAATCTATTGTGCTTTGAGATACTTTTGACAATCTATTGCTTTGAGATATTTTTTACAATCTGTTGTTTTGAGATTCTTTTGACAATCTTAATTAGAAATACTTTTTAATACTAAAATTGATTTTTCTTTGGGTAATTTTGTCATACAATCGCAATAAAAAGAGTGTCATACAATCTTGTCTTAAAATCGCAACAAAAAAATTGAACCATAACAAACTCAAATGATTCGTGAAATGCTATATCGTGTAAAGAATTCCTCAAATATTGCGTTTTACTGCCCGTATCTAGTAAATTTTCTGAAACAGATCTGAAACAATCTTTTTCAGACCTGAATTTCAGATCTGAAGTAGGTTGTGAAATGTTTAAAAAACGCTTGGATACTTTAAGGATTGGTTATTTCAGCTCTAACTTCAGATCTGATTTTTAATTATTCTTGGTTGATTCAGATTTAAAAAATCAACGATTCTGATACAATTTTTGCCGTTTTTTTTATTTGATAGCTTCTGCTAGCTACTAGCAGGTACTCAGCAAAGTCTCAAGTTGGAGACTGCCAAATTTTGTTTCCCCAAGCATGAGATAAACATTCGACACGCATAAGTAGCGCATGAAAATCAAAACTTTGACAGGTGTTCTAATAGTTTTTGAAAACTCCATTTTTTGCTCGAAATGCATAAATTATAATTAAACAAAGGATTTCTCAGAACTGATTTGAGATTTGAAATTTTATTTTTCAAGGTTATTTCAGATCTGAAATTTTCTATTTCGGATCCAAATTTCAGATTTGAAATATGTAAATTCTTATCAAGATCTAAAATAAAGAATTTCAGATCTGAGAATCAGCTTATGTAAGAAATAAAGAATTTCAGATCTTGCACAGAAAATACTCTGGGTACGGGCAGCATAATTAACAGTTCGCCTTTTCAAGTCTCACTCCATTTCTCAGTTCAATTTGATAACTTATCAGGCTGGCACAGAGGAATCGGTGGAAATTGAGGTGAAGGGAGACAGCATGTATCTCTCCTGGGAGTTCTATACAGTCAAGAATCGCATCACATTCTCCGTCTTCTACCAGCCAAACAAAGACCCCTCCACCCAACGACAGGTTTGCTTATGCTCTTTCAGAAGTGTAGAGGTCCTGTCCCAACACGAAACTGAAAATAGTTAAGGCCTCTTAATTTAAACCGCAATTGTACCATAATGTAAAACTTAATCAAAATGTTTCCCAAGTTTTCAACATAAATATTCTATTAGTTTATAAATGAAATTTAGTGTGAACGTAGAATTATGATGGAACTCGATGCACTCAGAAACGTTTTAAAAAATTGTTCGCTGCTTGACGCACAATCAAAACACAAGAGACCATTAGATCTCATTGCCAAATAAACAGAATTTTTAAGTTCTCAAATCCAATTAGCCAACGTAAATTTCGGACAGGGCGAGTTTTTAGAGCATTAACATACATTCAAACCCTTACCAGTATTATTGTCATAGACTGTGATCTCGCCCTACAAGCCAGAGTGCTGTTTGTGTCCGGAGACAGGGTCCCTGGACTGCCAGACCCCTGGAACTGGAATATACACTCTGGTTTTTGGAAACATGACTAGCAAGCTGAAGAGCAAAACTGTGGTGTACTCAGTACAGGTGTTGGAAAAGGCACATGACAGCTGAATCTGAAAAATTACCAAATTGTGAATATTATACTAATATTGTGGCAATTAATTTAAACTTCAGAGAAAAAAAAACAAATTTTTGCGTGCTTTGGCCAGATGAGAGTTTGAATTGAAATGAGTTTTATACTTAGAACCAGAATGCTTGCATCTGAGCGAAGCCTTGAATGTTATGACTGTCCTGAAACGTCGATGAAAAAGTTTTTAGTTAGAAAATTGTTCAAAAAGGTGAGCAAAAAATACATAACAACTTTCTCTGAAATTTTATAAAATAATCCCCGGCGAAGTCGGTTCAAAATTATATCATAATAAATAGTTTTTATTAGTCGCGTACTAATAAGGGCAAACTGCCTGTTTTATTGTTCCGACCATTGAAAGTATGTAAGAAATGTGTATACAGGTGGGTTTTATTTTTTTTATTTTTTTTTGTTTTCCACGCAAAATTAGGTACCACAAATAATCATCGGACCGGGTTGAGTGATATATCATATTAGAGTCTTTACAGTCGTGATTCGAACGACTTTAAAAGTTTGCGAAAAAAAAACTCTCAGTGAAAAGAAAAACCGGTCGGAAGTTTTCAATTTTTTGTCTAAATTCAAGCGAGTAAAACGAGCGAGCACGCTTTTATATGCTTAATCTAAGCCGTTTATAATAGTTTATATAGGCTTAATTTTTGTTTCACTCGAGTAAAATGACTTTTGGAGATTCCTATTGCCATATTAGGAATCAAAAACTTCATATATTGAAAAATTTTTGAAAAAAAAAGAAACTTAATTTTTGATATTGATTTTTCTATTTATTCTTTTGGTTTTTATGGTATTTTTTTTTCAAAAACTGTTGTCCTGTTTGCTTATATTATTTTACTGACAAACATACCTAAATTATATCTTGATGTCAGATCCTTTTATCAATTCACGCAGGAAAAAATTTAACAAACTCAAAAAAATCTACAAACACTTTTGTAGAATTTTGAAAACTATGGTGGGATTTTTCTATGCTACTTGTAGACTAATCGGCTAATTTTGTTTCGTTTTGGATCAATTATTTTTGGCATTTATGTTTTAAAGGATGGAATTCAGTTCAAGATTATTTTTCCAAATTGAATTATAGAAGTCACAGTAGTCCCGAATTCAGCAACCCAAAACTCAAGAAAGTTTGGCCGCAGGTGGAGCTTGGTTTCAATTTGATTTTGGCTTGTCTGTATTTTTCAGATTGTTTTGAAAATGCCTTCTAAAACTCGGAATTTTTTTGAAATAAATAAACCAACCCGCGATCGAACACTTCGTCACTCTAATCGAAACTCAGATCAAACAAATAAATTAAGTATTGAACATCGCAAAAAACACGCGCGAATTATCAAAAACGTTAACACAATTGAAAATATATATATTTTAAATTTAACGCAAAGAAAAATTAAACGTTTCAGAATTTATGAAAACAACGCATTATTCATAAAATTTGTCAGTTAGCTTATTACATGTCAATTATCAATTGTTTTCAACAAAAAAAAAACTTCCAATCAGCTTCTAATATTATACAGCTTCTTGAAATGTCACCAAAACACCAAAATTTACTAGTTCAATTAAAGTTTTTAATTAATTAATTTTTCAAAATTGGCCGGAAATCTGTTAGGCTTAAAATCTTTTTGGCTAGTTGTCTTGGATCCGGCACAAATCTCACTCATAGATTGGGTTGGAAAATTCAACATCGAATGTTTTGAGTCTCACCTAAAATTAATACAAAACGTGATTTTTTTATACGGCTAGAAGCTCTAATTTTTGAAGTTCCAGTTTTTGCAAATGATGGTCTGTTGTTATGACAGACAGTCTTTTATCTTATCATATAAGAACTAAAAAATCACTGAAAACTTTGTCATCACGCAATACGCAATAGTCTTATTGTCCCGATTTTTGAACAAAGTAAGAGATATAATATAAGTAAAAAAGGGAGTGGTGTTTTTAATTCAGACCAGCTCTCAAAGTATTACAATCGGTGGATCGGTCGATGGAAGGGGTGCACTCACCAAAAGACTATCCCGGGATGACCGAAACTTCTTATCATACAGTTCCCATATATGAGAAACTTCTTGTCATACAATTCCATACAATGCCATACGTACAGAACATTGTATGAAATCTCTATGATAAACATTTTTCCATAATTGAAAATTGTATGATAGGTGTTTTTCCATTAACCAAAAACTTTGATTTTATTTTTCTAAATTTAGTTTCTGAAAATTTTTTCGGTTGTGCTTGCAACCGAACACAAGTGACAAAGACCTTGGTTACTCAAAGGACCAAAGGTTGGACGTTCTTGCATTTACAATGCATAGAAAACGACCTGGTTTTAGCTGTCTTTCGCAATTGATATAACAAAAGTAACAAACTTTTAATTTTTGGCAAAAATTTTTAATGGTGATTTTTTTAAATTTTTGAATTTTCAAATTATCAGACATTGATCAAGGCATATATAAACACCCATTCAAAAAAAAACAGGAATATTCAGCGTTTTTGAAGAAAAAAAATTAAGTCTAAAGAAAATAAAAGCCAATATTATCGTAACCAGGACTACGTTATGCACACAAAAAATTAAATTTTGCATGCAAAAATTTTTTTTGAAAAATGTTAGTTTGCGTACGAAATTTGATTTGCGGTTGAAAAAAAAACAAAAAATTTTTGGGCTAAATTTTCAAAATTACTTGAAAAATTTTTGTTTCGCCATCAAAAAAACGCCAGTCATACAATTTCCATATATGGGAATTGTATGATAAGCATTTTTTTCAAAAAACGAAAACCTCGGTTTTTTTTACCAGACTGTTTTATTAGAATCAAACAGCCACATAAATAAGTTTATATCTTTTTTCAACCATTTTTAGAAATTGTATGAAAATTGTATGACAAGCATTTTTCCATACACTTGATGTATGGAATTGTATGATAAGCATTTTCGGTGTATGGAGGTCAACCCGGGATCTTAGCTTAACAATTGCTGCAAAACGCGCATTAAAAGACTATTATGACTAAAAGAGCGCTGTGATAATTTGATGCTGAAAATTTAACGGGTATTATTTAAGCGTGGTGAAATATCCCGAGCCACAATATCGTTCTTTCCCCCCCCCCACCCACACACATATGGAACCAAATTTTGAAATTCCCCCCAACCACACACATATGGAACCAAATTTTGAAAAACTATTTTATTATTGTCATGCTGCAATGAAATTTGACACGATGAACAAACCAATTATTGTGAACAGATATTTTTTTAATACTTTAGATCGTGGCGTCACGCATTCAGCTGAAATTACACGTTAAGCAATTTTAAAAAATGAAAAATTTGAAATGTGAGTGGAAAGTGCAAGACAGTCCCAAATTCAATAAAGACAGTCTAATTGGTCTTATTAATTCACTACACGATTCTTGGAACGTTGCCCTTATACAAGCAGTCTTGTTATAAATTATTTGCTTCAGTGTGAGAAATTGGGTCTGGAAGAGACAAATATTACAACTTCATGTTTCTACTTCTAGTTTCGGAGTGGAATTCGATTTTCAGATTTCCTGGGAAAATTAAAATTTTATTCAATAATCCATCTCTAATTAAGCTAAATTTATCAAAAAAGTACCGATCAAAAGTTGTTCTGGAAATTCAAAGAGCTGCATGGGCTAATTTTTTCTTTAAAAATTGCAAGTTGAAAGTTTATTCCTTCTTTGAGTTCATCACTCTTTTTCAACTGTCTTATTTAGAAATCTTTGAAAAATTAGATGGTCTACAGGCAGGTGTAATTTTTGACAAAGTTATATGTAGTTTCAAAGAGTGCTGCTATAACTGATTTTGAGATTCAAAATTTTCTACAACTTGCTCGCTTTTTGAGATGCACCGAAGATCTTGCAAGTTAACCTCCCTTGGTCGACTAGGGTAGGCCATAGTTCTTTCCAGTAACCCGGGTCGAGGTCAGCAACTAAAAAAGCCGGAGCGACTCAAACATGGCAATTACAAACCGGCGCAACTTTTTATTGAGAATTCCAGACCAGCGCGACCAAAACTTGGCTATTAAATACCGGTGCGACTAAAAAAACCACCGCGACCGGCGCGACTCAAAAAAATTGTCGGAATCTGTGCGACGTAAGGTAATGGCGCGGCCGGCGAGACTGAACACTTTCAATTTTTTTAAAGTTTTTTCTTAAGTCGCGCCGTCAGTCTTAAGTCTTTCTTTTATCGCGCCGCATAAATCTTTTCTTAAGTCACACCGCTTTAGTCTTTTCTAAAGTCGCGCCGCTTCAGTTTTTCTTAACTCGCGGCGTCAGTTTTTTCTTAGGTCGCGCTAATTAGTCTTTTTATACGTCGAGTCGCTTTAAAAAAGTTTTAAAAGGCGCGACTTAAGATAAGACCGACAGCGCGACTTAAGAAAAGATCTAAGCAAGCGGCGTGGCATAAGAGAAGACTTAAGCGGCGAGACTTAAGAAAAAACTTAAGCGGCGCGACTTAGGCAAAGACCGCCGGCGCGTCTTATGAAAAGACAGTCCCAAATTCAATAAAGACAGTCTAATTGGTCCTAATAATTTTCTACATGATTATTGGAACGTTGCCCTTATACGAGCAGTTTTGTTATAAATTATTTGCTTCAGTGTGAAAAATTGGGTCTGGAAAAGACAAATATTACAATTTCTTATTTCTACTTCTAGTTTCGGAGTAGAATTCGATTTTCAGATTTCCTAGGAAAATTGAAATTTTATTTAATAATCCATCTCTAATTAAGCTAGTTTTATCAAAAAAGTACCGATCAAAAGTTGTGCTGGAAATTCAAAGAGCTGCATGGGCTAACTTTTTCTTTAAAAATCGCAAGTTGAAAGTTTATTCCTTCTTTGAGTTCATCACTCTTTTTCAACTGTCTTATTTAGAAATGTTTAAAAAATTAGATGGTCTACAGGCTGGTGTAATTTTTGACAAAGTTATATGTAGTTTCAAAGATTGCTGCTATAACTGATTTTGAGATTCAAAATTTTCTACAACTTGCTCGCTTTTTGAGATGCACCGAAGATCTTGCAAGTTAACCTCCCT